TAACGACTCTCTGATGACAATGTTGGGAAGCAGCAATGCTACATCGACATGTTTCTTGAAACAATTCTCTAATGACTGTGTTGGGGAAGCAGCATATGCATGTACGTAATTGGTGGATTTGTTAGTTATTTCGACGCTTTTGGACAATGGCAGACATTTACCACTTTTTTAATAATTTCTTGTTGAAAATCAACAGTCTAGAGCATTGCGTAGACATATTTATGTTCGATTGGTGATAAAATTATTAAAATTGGTCCAGTGGCAGCTGAGTTATCAACGTTCAAAATCTTTCATGATTACGTTACATGTTCCATTTTTGGTTTTCACAAAGTGTACTCCCTTACAGAAATCACAGACGTAGTCCTACGTCAAAACCTGATTTCAGTGACGAGTTTGGTACAAAAGAACCTCAGTGTGTCTTTCAACGAAGAAAGCTTGCCGGACTACGGATCCAAGTGGAGTTTTTGTCTCGACGGGATGTCGCTACAGTGGCTTGTACCATCTGAAGATAGCGGAGTCGTCGATGCAAGTATCTGTAGGTCAACATCAAGAGAACTACCAGCACCCGTGGCATAGGCGTCTTGGCCACTACGATTGGGCTGCGGTGGACCAGATGAACAGTGAAGGATTGGCGACAGGGATGAATGTCGTGACTGTGGCTTGAAGCTGATGTGCGAGTGGTGTGACAGTGATGGAAAGGAAGTCGACTTAAATTTTCGATATCGTCCACACTGAACTTTGTGGACCGTTCAAAAACGTAACTACCAGCGAGCACTGTATCGATGATTTTGGTCGTTTCACCGTTACATATCCGCTCAGGCATAAATCGGAGGCAGCCGATGACATCAAGGATTACGTGAGGTGGACTCAAAATTATTTCAACCGCAAACCGCGTGTGATCACTTCTGCTGGATCACACCCTACTCCCCTCAACTGAACGGCATAGCAGAGCGTAAGAACCGGTCCCTCACTGAAATGGCGTCATGCATGTTGATCGATGCGGATCTACCGAAGAGCTCACTGCCACCTATCTCCAGAACAGGTTACCATCTCGGTCGATCCAGACGACACCGTACGAGCTGTAGACATTTGTGCATATTCCGGAGGTCAAGCGTAGCAAGCTAGAAAGCAAGACACGAAAACTGCAGACAGATGAACCAAAAGGGCTACCGTTTCTTAGACCCTGAGACGGATGCTGTTATCGAGAGTCACGACGCACGTTTCATTGAACTCGGGAACGGAACCGGTGCAGTTGAGATTCCAATTTCGAAAGCGGGGACAAGTTCGACTCAGCAACGTGGAAAGGAAGAAACCAAGCCGCCGAAAGAAGAACGGGATCAGACTTGGCCAGAAGGTGGCGATAGTTCGAGCAACGAGGAGTTATACGAAGATGCAGATACCGAAGAACAGCAGGACGACCGACGATCATCATCGGGGCCGAATCTAGGTGCAAAGCTGAAATATCTTGGGCGTGTGTTTAGCCGATTGACTTCAAGGAAGCAGTCAAGAAGCTAGAATTGCGGGAAGCGATGGATGGATGACAATTATCCACGGCCCATACAAATTTTAATTTTTTTGTATGGACAATTGTCTACGCAGGGGAAGGGCCCCCCGGTCAAGAATCCCAAAAAACTGTCTACGTAGTTTATGAACAGGCTCTTAGTTGCTTTTCCCTCGATCTGTCGATACACCAGCTGTGTTGAATTAAAACAAAACAGAAGCAAGCCAGTGTTTTAGGATCGATTAAATTGTGCAGAAATACAGATCCGTAGGAGATATTCATAGAAGCTCAGACTTTTTTAGGGATTTGTTTTGTTTGTTTAGTTTGCTTTTTCTTTTGCTGGAAACAAGTTTTTAAATGAGGTAATGCATTACTAATGAGTCCCATTTCTACCACCGATCATCACTTTAATGTGTGCACAGTAGAAAAATAGAATATGTATCAATTAATGATATTCATGGTGAAGTATTGATTATCAATAACTGGTAAAAGTTGATAGAATATTACAGTGATCAAAATGATTTGTTCTAAAATTCTGTGTATATCGTACTAATGTGCAGCAGTTAGGATGTAATAATCAACATCTGTATTCGTCAGATGTGGAATGTGTCTCGAGTGGGATGCCTTGACCTCTTGTCATTTTCATGAGCTGACATATACTAAATTGACCTGAAAAAGAACTGGCATCACTGATAAGTTCGAAATGTGGTGGCTTGCTCAACGCTTCAGTGGCGCCACCATCATAAATTATTGCACATTCCCTAACTAAAACATTATTTGTGATGAATGTGATAGTGACTGTTACGTCTGTTTGTCTGTGGTATGGCTTAGTCAGTTGCTGAATGACTTCGAAGAAACGCAGAAACAACCGACAGTTCTGCGCGAGGACAATCAGGGCTGCTTATGGGGTGTTTTCATCTGTGCGGATTTGCTAGCGCTAGTGTACTAGCAAAGATATCTAATTAACAAGATATCCCACTAATCAATTCCTCATACAAGACATATAATTACCACCCGTATGTGATCGCAGTGCCATCTGTTGAGTGCACATTGAAACTGTTGGGAGTTCCATGCCAATTTCACCACCTGGGCTCAATAACTGACAGGTGTCAGCATGATAGATGTCAATGCGGACGTTGATGATCAGCCGAGGAAAGACGATAACGTCCTCGAAGTCATCATCACCAGGGGGGCGACTCTATCTAAGATGCAGGAATTTTTTGCTTTGCTGTTGTGAGATGCACTCGCGCTTAATAGATAGAAACATGATTGATTATGATTGTGAAGATTTCCTGCAAAAAGGTGGAGAGCGATGCGAGTAGATGGGTTTAGATGCAAGAGATGAAAAAAGATTTTTCGTAGATTGATTCGCTAGTGTGAGATTTTTCGACCATTTAAAATCGAGATTTAAATGTGTCGCACCCCTCGCATCATCATTATATTGCGATAGCAAGATTCTTACTTGTTGTGATTGCTCCAATTTTCAATCATTACCACTTTATATGCAACAGAAACATTTGAGAAAACAATCACACATCCAAGCGCGCATCATGATGTGCTTGTAATATAATTTGCTTTCGAGCTAAAGAGTTTCCAATACCACCGGTATCAGTAAGATGCAAATCTCAAATAGTAATTGATGATTTACGGAGCTGGTGCCCAAAACAATCTTAATAAGCATAGAAGTAAGCTTGGAAAAAAGATTCACTCTCTCTAAAGAATTATTCCAAAACCCCAGCCATTGGAAATGAAACGCATCGAAATCATTGCGAAACGTAATAAAATATGCCGTCTTCTTTGGCCAACGCAGCACGCATTCTATTCAAAAATAACGTTGGAATAATCATTACTTTCCTATTTTATAACGTAGAAAGTTTTTGTCAACGCCGGTGAAAGCAAACGCAAACGGAAGTAGCCGAAGCTGAATGATGACGATGAGTGATGACAACACTTCGTGTTTTGATTTGCGCTGTACCGTCCGCTCAGTTATGTGGGTACGTTCATGTATAGATGTTGGTGTGCGTGTTTTCTTCCAACGCTGCAGTTCAACTTTGTCTCGTCACAAACCATTTGGCGCTGTAATCGGTCTCTATAAATTCCGAAGAGTGATAAGGGTCTGGTACTAGCCAACTAGCACGAATTTCAGTTGCTCCTGAAATATTATGCTGGTAGACGCTGATGCCCTGTTTACATTATGCTGGTGAGCTTTATTGCTAGCAGCTGGCAGATTAGCGCTTGTGAAATAGCATATGTGTAAACACCCCATTAGTGGTTGTTCAGGAGAGGATCAGCAGACGTTCTAAACACATTAACACGAGAGAGCGCTTCGTGCACGAGTTGTGTGCGAAGAAGGAGATCGTGTTGGAGTACTGCTCGACGGACCAGATGTTCCGAGAAATGCTTCGCATTGAGGGGGAGTGTGGAGATCGACAATGCCCATTCTCCTCACCTGTTAAGTGCAGTGTATTTGGTCGACAACATAGTAGAAGCGATTCGAAGCGATTCGATGCGATAGTAATTGGCAAAGCGAAATGAAGCGGTAAGCAAAGCATGAAAATCCACCTTTCACCCCTTTCACCAACTGTCAGGAAATGTGTATGAAAGGTCATGACCTACCTATTTATTATCCATCTCATATCTTCCCTCTCCTTCGGTATAAAAGTTTTAAATGTTTTTTTTAAACAATAATTAATGTTAATGAATCACTGAATGCTGTCAGTTTTAATTTCATTAATATCATGGCGCCACCCACCTTTCCATTGGCATAATGTTAATACAAAAATGTATGGAGAGTTGATTTTATTTCCACATAATTTTTTTAAAATTTATTTTGAGTTTTTTTAGCGTAATCAGAGAAAACAATATTTTGTAGTTGTGTTCCGCAAAAAATGTGTTGAACCACCAGTGACAATGTTTACATTAAAACCAGTATTTCCCATTTTTTCATATACGCACATTTTAAAGTAACATTGGATGCTGAATAAGAGCTTATTCAGGCTAAATATACAATTTTTTTGTTGGATAAGCATATTTTTAGCCTGCATAAGCTCTTATTCAGCATCCAATGTTACTTTAAAAATAATGAAGTAAGGATTTAAAAAATAAGCTGATGATGATAGTAGTTTACCATCCATCGTAGCACGGAAACTAAGTCCGACAGCAGTGGGCTCTCTTCTGTGTTTATATTGATCAAGCTTAATATCGTCTGATTGTCCTCAACATGTCGCTGTATGAAGGGCCAAAAATGGATTGGGTGGATCGATAGGCAAAGTCACTGTGAAAATACGCCGATATAATTATGGGAAAATCACCCACGACGCAGATAATAAATGTTCAACTTACCCGTGCAGCAGCTTGAATCCAAATTACCTTTCACCAACTGTCAGGAAATGTGTATGAAAAGTCATGACCTCCCTAGTTATTATCCATCTCATATCTTTCCTCTCCTTATACGCTTTTTTTTTATTAATAATTAATGATAATGAATTACTGAATGCTGTCAGTCTGGAACCAGATCACAGTATTTGCTGTTCGACTCGGACAATTTCTGCAGCAAAGCCTCAACGCGATAATTGTAGAACATGCGATTCTGCTGTTCGTCTGCCTGTTGCTGTTTAACTAGCTCCTCAATGCGAGCTTCGTACATCTCGACAAGCCGCTGCTTCTCGGCATCAATGTCATCGTCGCTTCCGCAAGCACGATCCTGCGTGTGTACGTACGAATCTTTAAAATGGATCGACGAGGTCGTAATGTCCTCGACATGGATGCCATGATTGTGCAGATGATGCCGGGGACTGGCTTTGCTACACTCATCCGTTTGATTCACAATCGGTGAAATGCCCTGAGAGCTGGGTGTGTTTGCATCGTTGGTGGTGTTCTCTCGCACCGTTACGGCGTCACTGGAGTTTGAATGTTCCTCCGGGGAACTGAGCGATGCTTTGAAGAGCCGCAGCTCAACAACCTCTTTGGTAAGTCTTAGAATTTCAGTATCACGCTGCTCCAGGTCTATGCAAGCCTACGAGAGCAGCTCCTTCAGTCATCTGATCTGGTGCTGAGTTCGCTGGGTCGGGGTAAGGAAGTCCTCACCCGTCTGTCCGGTATGGCTCGAGTAATGTACTACGTATTTCATCTGATGGCCACTGAACGTGGTGCCATTGCGGGTCACATACGGATGGTTCTATTTCTCTGGCCTTGCCACTGCAAGGAGACGATTTTTTGCAAATCAGTTCTCACTCGTTTCAGAACGCCCGTCCCGGTCGCGTTCGTATTTTGTCAATTTTTGCGCATCCGTCCTCACTCGCATTCAGAACGGCCGTCTCGGTCGCGTTCTTATCCTGTGGCCGTGCCACCACGAGGAGACGATTTTTTTTGCAAATCCGTCATCACTCGTTTCTCAGAACGGCCGTCCCGGTCGCGTTCACATTTCCAATTATCCTCGCAAGTAGGTGATTTGCCCTTTATTACCTATCGGGGGTCTTCAAGATTCCAGGTTCGTCTCCTGGTAGGATCGCCATAAGAATGAAGAAGAGCAGCGTTCTTATCCTGTGGCAGTGTCACTGCTAGAAGACGATTTTTTTTCCCAAATCCGTTCTTACTCGTTTTCTCAGAACGGCTGTCCTGGTCGCGTTCTTATCCTGTGGCAGGAGACGATTTTTTTTTTCAAATCCGTCCTCACTCGTTTTATCAAAACGGCCATCCTGGTCGCGTTCTTATCCTGTAGCATTGCCACGGTGAGGAGACGATATTTGCAAATCCGTCCTCACTCGCATTCAGAACGGCGTTCAGAAGTCGCGTTCTTATCCTATTTTCCTTGCAAGTGGGTGATTTGCCCTTTTAATACCTATCGGGGGTCTCCAAGATTCCAGGTTCCAGACAGGATCGCCAGAAATGTGAAAATCCGCCGATATTGATTATGGGCAAATCACCCACGACGCAGCTTATCAATGTCCAACTTACCCGTGCAGCAGCTTGAATCCAAAATGACCTTTCATCAACTGTCAGGAAATGTGTATGAAAGTTATTATCCATCTCATAAAAACATTACAGCCGCGCGCGCAGTGCAAAATATTTGTTCAAATTTGCTTCAATTCAGCATGGATTCATCCAATGAGGAATACTTCACTTCCTCAAGCACGATTCACTTCGTAATGAACAACAAAAGAGAGTTTGTAGTTCACCCGATCAATCGAAATAGAAGGCGATATACTTCCATAATGAATGACAGCTTCGGTAGACGTATTTACTTTTATTATTTTTAAAAATTGAGAAGGAGAAGGTGATCTTTGTGGAGTAGGAAATGATTGCTCAGAAGTAACACCGGCCGGGATCTGGCTCATCTTGTCCTTCAAGAGCTGCGATATAAAGATGAAAAAGGATTTCAAAACTTCGCCAGGATGTCGATACCAACTTTCGACAAGCTAGTGGGAAAAGTTCTCTATAGATCTAAATGATTTCTTGAGTTAAGCAAATTTCTGTTAAGAACTCAATTCTGCCTGTTTATGTGAAGACATTCAGACGTCTCTGAAGTTTTGTTTCTTTCTTTCCTGAAGATCTGCAAATTTCTCGGTAATTCTGTGGATTTCTTTGAAGTTCTGTGTGTTCTTCAGAAGTTCTGCAAATTTCTCTAAAAATCTACAACGCTCCTAAATCCCTACAGATTTAGGATCCTTAAAAATCAACAATTATCTCTGATGTTCACTAAATTTCTTATAATCCGTGCGATTCTCGAAAGTTTTGTAATTTTCTCTGTAGATTTTCATGAGTTAATGAATATCTGCAAATATCTCCGAAGATCTACACAATTCCATAAAGTACTAAAAGTTTACCCAGAAATTTTCGAGCTTCCCGGAAATTTTAGGAAGTTCTCTGAAGATCTACTAATTTTCTGAAACTTTGCAAATATCTATAAAGATCAGCGAACTTCCATGGAGCTCTATAAATTTCAATTAACATACAAGAACCGCAATAAAATTTTAAAAATTTATTGAAACATCTGCAGATTTACGATCTTCTCTCTGAATTTTTCGGAAGTTCCTAAAATTTCTTTAAAATTCTGTAAAGTTTACTAAGGTACTGTATTTCTGCTCTGAAGATCTACAAACTGCCCTGAAGTTTTATTAATTTCTCAGTAGATTTCCAAATCTCTCTAATGTAGTATAAATGTCTTTGTGGAATCTTGGATTTCCATAAAGATCTGCAGATTTATCTGAAATTCTTTGAAATTACCCAAAGCTCTACAAATTATCTGAAAGTATTTGAACATCGCTGAAGTTTTAAAAATGTCTCAGAAGATTTACGAATTTCTCTGAAGTTGTGTAAATACTTCTAAAGATCGGCGTACTTTCCTGAACTTCTATGAGTTTTGCTGAAGCTTCTCTTAAGATCTACGGACTTCTCTGAAGTTCTTCAGATCTATATATTTCCAACTTCCATGGAGTTTTGCAAAATCTTGAACTTTCGACTTCGCTGCGAGTTGTTTTTAGAATTAAAGTACTTTTGAAATTTTTCTGAATTTTTCTGAAAATCTCACATTTTTTCTGAAACTTTGAAGCTTTCTGAACCACTGAATGTCTCTAAAGATCTGCAAAATTCCTAGCAGTTCTGCAGATTTCTCTTAGTATCTACTCTTTTGAAGTTCTGTAAAGTTATCTGAAGCTCCGTAGTTCTATTCTTAAAATATACGAAAAAAACCTCGAGGCTCATACATTTCTCTGTAGATCTGCAAACTTCACTGAAGTTTTGTAAATTCCTCTGTATTCTCTCGGGCTACCCTGAAGATCTGAAAATTTCCCTGAAGATATTCTAAAGTACCTAAAGTTCTCAAAATTTATCTGAAAATATTTGAGCTTCCTTGAAGTTTTAAATGTCTCTCTCTAAATCTACAATTTCCCTGAAATCGTATAAATATTTTTTAAAAAATCGCTGAACTTCCCTGAAGTTCTACCAATTTCACTGAAGATCCAAGATTTTAAAATGTATCAGAAAATCTGCACACTTCTTTAAAGGTTCAAATTTATCAGAAGATCTATGACCATTCTTGTAATTTTTGCAGAAGTTCTGTATTTTTTTTTTCAAATTCTGTAGCTTTGTTCTGAAGATCTACGAACTTTTCTGATGTTCAAGTTTTTCAGTAGATCTCCAAACTTCTGTGAAATTCTTTACATTTCACTGTAGTTTCTTGGGCTTGTCTGAAGTTCTGCGAATTTCCATGAAGATTTGAAAAATTTCGCTTACAGTTTTACAAATTGATCTGAAAATATTTTAGCTTACTTGAAGTTTTGAAAATGTATATGATCGTTTATATGAAGATCTACGATCTTTCTCGAGATTTTTCTGAAATTCTGCAAATTTCTTCTAATTTCTGTAAAATTTTCTGAAGTTTTGAAGTTCTGTTCTCAAGATCTAGGAACTACGTTGAAACTCAAAAAATTTCTCAGTAGATCTCTGAACCTCTCTGAAGCTCTAAAAAATTGTTAGTAGGCGCTCAGAGCGGCCAATGACACTGGAAAATAAAAGTCAGTCAAATCATACACAGGACAATATTGAACAGTGAAATCGGCTAAGAATCGGTTTACCTTGCTACTGGGTGCCATCAAAACACAAGTCAAGCGTTCTTTAGTGGTTTAAAACCATGACATTTTAGAAAAAAATATCAATTTTTTTATCTCAATTGCGGCTATTTTGCTGAATGAGTCGAATGAAAATTAAACACAAACCTATTTCGTTCCACAAATCAAACTTCAAATCTTAATCATCATGTCGAAAAAGTGTGAACGCATCCGGACATTGCATCCGACCAAATTATCGAGCAGTCCGCTCGAATCAGACCAAAAAATCAGATAGTCTAAACGTACCTTGATTAAGCATAACGAGGGGTGCGCTTCTGCTCTAGATTCAATTTGTAACAGTTCATATAAAATACAACAACATTGCGAACGGCCTAACAGTTTAAGAAAAGATCATTTGTTGCATTTGGCTTGCATAGAATTTTCGAAGGTCATATTTAATTTAGCCGCCATATTTGATGCTTTCTTCTAACAAACATCTAACAAATTTTAAAACAAAGCATGCCATTTGAGAGCTGAGTCTTTTTCCTATAAAATTCATATCAAAGAAGAGGTAATATGTTTCCATATAATTTGTGATGATTCATTTTCCTATTTCTGTTTTCGTACGAAGAACGTATTGCTCCATCATAATTTAAAAGGTATAGGAAAAAGTATCAGCTATGTTTAAGAAAAATGCAGATTTTCGAAAAAATCCAATACATATTTAAAATGGTCGCCAAAATATCTAAACATGTCAAATGAAAACTTTGACGTTTCCCCTTAGAATAGTACGCAATAGTTAACGAGGGGTCCATGGATTCAACATACTGAAGGCGAATTTTTCTATGTTTTAACTAGAGTTATCTTAAAAGTAGATCCTCGACCAAAAAGTGGTTGGCTTCAGTGAGAATTGCTCATTTATCACTACAACACCTTGAACAAAAGATGTGATGCCTGTAACGAGATCTTGCTTAAACTAAAAACTGTGTTAAAAATTTCAAGCGTTTCAAAAAGATACCAAGCGGAAAACAGAATGGAAACTATAAGTACATACTCTAGTAAACAGAAACAGACGAAAACCAAAATCTCAGCAATCTTTAACGCAAACAAGATCGAGATATCAATACTTCCGTTTTTACTGAGAAAATTATCGCCCACAGACCTTCTCGTGAAACTATCTTTCCAATCTCCTACTGGGAATCTGCAAAGATATTGTAAGCTTCACCCGACGCTGATAGCGACCCATTTTGGTTATTAATTTAATTAGGTTCTCTCCTGCGGTAGCCAGTCGTTGCAGCCCATGCGATGACATAGTGACGGAAACGCCACCATCATCGTAGTGAAGTTTCACATTTCGCCACATCTCTATTCAAACTCAAATGTGTTATGGAAGTAAGAAGTGATTAATTTCCCAAGCAGGGTTGAGAAAATATCAAAAAGTAAAATCTCACCATAGAGCAAGATCAAGAGCTTGATTTTCCTAGACAAAAATCAACAAGCAAACAACTTGCGGTTGATGTTGCAAGATGTGATATTGCAGCTCGGAATATGAAGCTAACAAAACTCACCAGCTGCAAATCTCACCAAACCGTGGTGAGATTGAGTTTCGTGATTTTTACTTTACACCCGAACGCATCCGAAGCTTCAATAACGGCTGATAGCAGTCGCTTCGTGTCTGCCATCGGTGAAGAGAAAAAAGGGATAGCAACATTATACCTTCTCTTTCTAAGAAAACGAGGTGCAACGGAATGATTTTTGCGGTTATTCAACTCTCAGCTTCAACTTTACACGGAGTGAATAGTCTCACACTATCAAAGGGGCTTGTAAAATCAATATCAGGCATGACATTTTGCTCCAATATCACGCGTGATATTGAGAGCGTATGAGAGCGAATAAATTCACTAATGACTATGCCATCACTGTTCTCAAGAAACAGTTTTCATGAGGGTCCTGTAGACCATGATATAGACTTGTGGAGTGCTTTTAAGCCGCGGTAAATGTATGCAATGTTCCATGTAATGCTTTTGGTTATATCAAGAGCCACATGTGAAAAGGGCATACAAACTTTTTGTAAACAAACCTTTGTAGGCCCTTTTATCGCCGAAAGTTTCCCCTCCCGGTAATGTTGATGGTTTGCGTTGGTGTCATATGAGTGGCGAGACAAAGGCATATGAAGGTTTGTTTACAAAAAGCTTGTATGCCCTTTTCACATGTGGCTCTTGATATTAGAGTTCTGTAGACCATGGTTTAGACATGTAGCATACTTTAAAAACACTATAAAACATGCATGGGGGCATGTACCAGTCTAAGGCTAGAGGCGGGATGTAAGATCACGTGGTACCTACATGAAAATTGCGCCGAATTGGTGAAGAAGGTAAATGTTTCTCCAATTTTGAGTAATACAATAAATGCATGGCCCCTAAATTTATGCTGTTTTCGGTCATATTAACCATTTTATTCGAGCAGTTGAAAATGACGTTTTCTACCACTCGAAATTCGAAATAACACAATGTTTTGAAGAATTGTAGCCAAATGTAGTGCATTTCATACTAAAATAGTATTTTGTTGGTCCAAATTTGTGAAATCGCTGGTGGAAAGTCACGGTAAAACTCCTTGACAAAGTGGTCCATTAACCAGATCAGCTAATCTGTTCAGCAAACATGTTCAATCATAGTGTATTTCGGCATACGAACCTGCTTCCGTTCCAATTCACCAAATGGATTTTCGTCACTTTATCATCTCACCAGCAACGTATCAAAAAAAGTTTGCCGTTGACAACGCAATTATTGTGATTGCTCTAAGCGATATATCTCGTCGACAAATAACATCGATCCAGTTCCGTGTTTGTCCGGGCTGTAGTAATTCAAAGTTTGAATTTCTATTTTTCCTCTGAATTTCAGGTAGAGTGTGTTCAATGGACTTTCGATGCGGCCCTTACCAGCGGAGAGGAAAATGTAGGGGTTGGAGAGCTGCAACATTTGGCGGAGTTTTTGGCCAACAAGCAATTCGATATGGTGATCAATCTACCGATGAGGGGCGGTGGAGCTCGAAGGGTGAGTTCCTTCATGACGCATGGCTACAGAACGCGACGGTTAGCGGTGGATTACTCCATTCCGCTTGTTACGGACGTCAAATGTACGAAACTGCTGGTGGAAGCCATGCACCGGATTGGACGGGCTCCACCGATGAAAACGCACACGGATTGCATGTCATCGAAGACGATGGTCAAGCTACCGGGCTTCATCGATGTGCACGTTCATTTGCGGGAGCCAGGGGCGACCTACAAGGAGGACTTTAGCTCGGGAACCGCAGCCGCTTTGGCGGGTGGAATAACTTTAGTTTGCGCTATGCCTAATACGAACCCACCAATCGTAGACAGACAAAGCTTCCAACTATTCCAGGATCTTGCGCAGAAGGGAGCTCGATGTGATTATGCTCTCTTCGTCGGAGCTTCTTCCACCAATTTCTCGACCATCAACGAACTGGCTCCGCAAGCCGCAGCTCTGAAAATGTATCTGAACCAGACGTTCACTACCTTGAAACTGAATGACATGCTCGTTTGGCAGAAGCATTTGTCCAACTGGCCAAAACGAGCTCCGCTTTGCGTCCACGCTGAACGTGAATCAACCGCCGCTATAATCCTTCTGGCTTCGCTCGTTGATCGACCGATCCACATTTGCCACGTGGCACGAAAGGAGGAAATAATGATCATCAAAGCAGCGAAGGAACGCGGCATAAAGATCACTTGTGAAGTTTGTCCGCATCACCTGTTCCTCTCCACCAACGATTTGGACCGAATTGGTCGTGGCAAGGCGGAAGTTCGTCCGGTTCTTTGTAGCCCGGAGGATCAACAGGCTCTGTGGGACAATTTAGATGTCATCGATGTCTTTGCCACCGATCATGCGCCTCACTCAAAGCAAGAAAAGGAATCCGAAAACCCTCCACCGGGATTCCCCGGAGTTGAAACCATTCTTCCGCTGCTGCTGAATGCCGTCAACGAAGGTCGGCTCTCCGTGGAAGATTTGATAGCCAAATTCTACAAGAACCCCCGTAGAATTTTCAGCCTTCCGGAGCAACCGAACACCTACGTGGAGGTCGATTTCGACGAAGAGTGGGTCATCCCGGAATGTCCACCGCAATCCAAAGCCCGCTGGACACCGTTTGCCGGAATGAGGGTCAAGGGACGCATCCATCGGGTGGTTCTTCGTGGGGAAACCGCTTTCGTAGACGGTGTCGTGCTGGTTAATCCCGGCTACGGGCAGAACGTTCGCGAATGGCCTCTGAAGAAGCCTACCGTGGCCCCATCGGTCGAAAAAATCAACACTTCACTGGATGGACTGGATCTGTTGTCGATTACGAAATCCCTGGACACCACCCGTCAACCAGCGGACTTTTGGGACACGGATGGGCATACGAACGATGTGTTCAGCAAACTGCTGGCCGGAGGTGAATCCAACAAAGCACATGTGCCGCTTGGCGATTCGCAGATGAGACCATTCTCACCGATGCCCCGGGTGCGATGCGACTCCATGAGTAGCTACTTTAAAGATACTCTGGTGAGCAGCGGTTCTGGAGCAATGAGGGAGAGAATTCAAATTGCTGGAAAGCACGTGCTGAGCGTGGATATGTTCAGCAAGGAACATCTGAACGAAATATTCAATGTGGCGACAACGATGAGGGGAAGAGTGCAGAAGGACCGGCCGCTGGATGATTTGCTGAGGGGAAAGGTGATGGCATCGGTGTTCTATGAGGTTAGCACACGAACCTGTTGCAGCTTTGCTGCTGCCATGCAGAGGCTAGGAGGACGCGTTATCTACATGGACGAGACGAGCTCGTCGGTGAAGAAGGGCGAAACGCTGGAGGATAGCATTCAGGTCATGTCCGGGTACGCGGATGTGGTGGTGCTTAGGCATCCGGAGCCAGGCGCAGTATCGGTAAGTGTGCACGTGATTGTGCTAGAAACAAATGTTATATTTCTCTGCTTTCCAATTGCAGCGCGCCGCCCACCACTGTCGCAAACCGTTGATTAACGCTGGTGACGGAATCGGGGAACATCCAACGCAGGCGCTGCTGGATATCTTCACGATTCGCGAGGAGATCGGTACCGTGAATGGGCTGACGATTGCCATGGTCGGTGATTTGAAGCACGGCCGTACGGTGCATTCGCTGGCACGACTGCTAACACTGTACAACGTCAATTTGTACTACGTCTGTCCGGAGAACTTGGGCATGCCAAAGGACGTTGTTCACTTTGTCAATTCAAAGGGAATTCATCAATGGGTAGGATTTGCCTTGCATATAAAATGAGTCAAAATTAAAACTAGACTTCGATATTCAAAATAGTCTTGCAACGCTCTGGAGGAAGTGATCGATAAAGTGGACGTTCTCTATATGACGAGAATTCAGAGGGAGCGGTTCGGATCCGAGGAGGAGTACAAAGCGGTATGTTTCCCTTTGGAAATTCTCACCAAAATCTTCATTTCAATCATACTTTATTGTTTCCACATAACAGAGCTGCGGTCGCTTGGTGCTGACTCCGCAGATCATGACCCGTGCCAAACGTCGTATGATTGTCATGCATCCGCTGCCCCGTGTCTTCGAGATCAGCAAGGAAATCGACATCGATCCGAGGGCTGCCTACTTCCGTCAGGCTGAGTACGGTATGTACGTCCGGATGGCACTGTTGGCCATGGTCCTCGGTAAGTGTTAGAATAAGGGACATTTCTTTCCGGACGGATTGAATAGGACAAGGTTAACAGTGATCAACCATTCGATGGTTTTTATAGGAGGCATTTGCTATACATTAGCACTACTACAATATAAAATACAATCAACGTCTAAATGCTATCACATAAAACTATAGTCACGATCAAATCAGTAGGACAGAAAAGAAATCCATAACAACTTACATAAAATACAAATCGGTACTTGGTAAAAACAGATTCAGTCGTCTGGGGTAGGGGGGGGGAGTCGTCAAATCCTTATATACTCAAATTTGAGTAACTATGTCGGAATCGATGGTCACGGTAGAGCTTCGGCAACTTCGACAGCTGTGCGAATCGACCGATTGCGTGATGGTGTAGATTTCTGTTGAGTCCGGTGACTTTGGCGGCAAATCCAACTGCCGGGAACTGTTACCGATGTTGTGCAAAAAATGTCTGCCGGAAGCGGTGGGGAAGATATGGTTATAATGACTGGTTGGATAATGGAACCAATGGCGGATTACCTCTTTCTGCGACTGATTAGTGCAATCAGAGTGATGAGGATGATGCAAGCTACTATCACTCCCAGGCCAACCGCTGCTAGCGTGATTTCCGGATGGGCCTCACCATCCATCGATACCATTGGAACTGTGAAGGGTAAGGAATCAAAAGAAAATAAGTTGTATTGTTATTCCTCAGAGTAGGAGCAGGGAAATCGCGTTTGCATAGGGATTGATCTGCCAGTACTCGCATACAGTGCTGTTAATTTTCATATCATTCGATTGAAGGTGAACCAATTCTGTGGAAATGAATTCTCACAAGACCATAATTTGAAAAGACCCTTTCTCATTCGAAGCTCATCATCACTGTCACATTTGAGTCACTCACTATCATTTGTTATATGACAGTGGAGTATGAAAGAAACCCAGCAAAATGGTTCTGAGCAGACAAGTCGACCCGATGTCGGATCAATGTAAGGCAAATTTAATGTCGATTTTAACCCAATGTCGTGTTGTTGTTGGGTCAATTTTGGGAATATGTTGGGTCAAAATCAGGTTGGGATTTGGTAGAAGTCTAGTTTAGTCTTGTAGCTGTGGAAGTGAATCAGCGAGATTACTAGCAAAAAGATGATGCGCGATGCAAGTATCTGTATATACAGATTACAGATTTTTGAAAAATATACAGATTTTTTCAAATAAAGGGAATATATTTTGCATTATTTTTTTTTAATTTATTAATTTCGATAAATAAATTATTTTTTTTTTTCATTTTGAGCAGCTTGAATTCAATCTGAGCATCAAACTCAAATCGAATTTTTAATTAAGTAAATTATTACTGTATTAGCTTCAGATGGACTTGGAATCTTTCGAATGGACTTCTGATGTTTTGATTTCTCGTTGGAAGGAATATTAGTTTCCCTTTCTATTCCCCCTTCAGATACGAAGTTAATTAAATATATTTTGACAACTCGGTAAACAAGCCATTTTAGAAAACCCCCAAAGTGGTTGATTACAGTTTGTGAGTCGCAGAGTCAACTGGATATTTTTATATTTCAAAACGTAATTATAGAAATAAAGAATATTGCATGCAATTCGACTAAGCTTCATGTAAAAGTTCTGTGTTATGTCCAATGTCCAGATAAAGGTTTGCGTAATCTGAGACATAAATAAATCAAATTCTAGGGAATTGTGATAGTTACTTCATTAAGGAAATTTTCAGTCGAAAAAATATTTGTCTCTTACAACTGGTGCTTAATGTTTTGTATTTTCAGACAGTAAAAGAGATACAAAACACTACAAAAAATCAAGATTGTAGGATTTCAAGATTTTTTAAATAGACAAATTCTTTAGAAAGCAAACTTTAGTAATTTGTCATGATTCTAAACGTTGAACAATCTCCGTCTGAACTATGCATTTGCTTAATGGAGATTTACGTAAATTCGCACTGAGATCATAATATAGAAATTATATAGATTTTTTCACAGATTTTTGAAGATTAAAAAGATTTTTTGCGATGAAAATGCAGATTGAACTTTGAAAAAATGTGGCATCACTGGTTTTCGGCTGCATTTGCTGGATTAGCGCTGGCACTCTGCCTCCCGGACGGTGTGATACGTGTGTGAGTGGTGGTTTTCTCGCTTTTCGAGAAGTTTTAGAATCGAGAAAGAAAACCACCCCTATTCTGTATTTCGTTTCGAACGAAATTCTCATACAAAAAAATATTTTTTTGTATGAGAATTTCGTTCGAAACGAAATACAGAATAGGGGTGAACATGATTCATCATGTTTGCAAGCAACAGAAGATTTAACGCTATCTGCGTTGTTTGATTTTTTCTCTCGGTCCAGAAATTTGTTACATCGCGAGTGAAAATTTTATTTTTTGTTTATTTACGCGGTGCAACTATTTTTGAAAAAATTAAGTGTTTTCGAACGAAAGTGTACCATAAGTGCTTCTGAACGTGTTTCGCAGTTGGGTGTGGTAATTGCTATTAGATATTTTGCAAACAGTGACAGATAGCGGACATGAAGAACCAGTGGAGGTGCCGGGCAAAGGTGTTTATCCTAAACAAATGGTAAGTTACAAATTCTCTTTTGTCGTTGTCGTAGGCGCCGTCGTAATCGCCGTCGTAGTCGTAGGCAGTACCGTTGGTATATTTAAAATTTAACATCAACCGCTGAAAATATGAATTATCGCGTATTTCTGTTGTTCATTACATTCCAAGTGAAATTCGATAACGTAATTTCATTGGAATAGCTTGTTTAACCAGGTCTTAAACAATCGTCACGTCGGTCATAGCTTGTTATGATTGTCTGAACCATGCGTAAAGAGAAAATCGAAACATTGATCGTCGCGTGAAAGTGGATCTTAATGAAGGCCTAAGTACTCTTTCGTAGCTTTTAGTTTTAGGATTTCAAAGATCGTCGGTTGCAGTGGCTTGCTTACTGAGGAGAAAGACGCGGTCCCAGATCCTTTCATACTAAAAATATTAAAATATCGCTTGTTTATCGTGTATTTTGTAAAACTTTTCGTTATCGTCGGTGCCGGGTTTGAATAGTTATAAAAACTTGAGTAACGCTATAATGTGATATGAGAGGCTCGGTGGCCTTAGAGCAACCGTTTTTGCTTACTGAGCAGAACATCATGAGTCTAGTCTCAGGCCCATCCACATTCAAGATTCGTCAATGATTAAAAAGGAGCTCGTCTGCCTAGTGGCAGACGTTTTTGCTTACTGAGCAGAGGACCGTGGGTTCAATCCCAAGCTCCTTCGTGTTATAAGATCGTTAGGACATCAATTCAGCTTATCGTTTACCAAAACGAACCCTGCTGCTAACCCAACCCTCTTACCCAACATCCCTGTGATTCCTCGTGGAAGTGCAGAGGACTCCTCGGCTTTCATTGGGCGTTCAATCATGCTCATGCTCGAGCTGTGGAGGTGAATCAGCATTTTACGGAAAAATACCGTCTGTCCGTCTCTCGAGAAAATTAAGATCAACTCTTTCTCAAAAATGTGTACACTCCTGGAAATTTGCTCTCCTTACGCTCCAACTGACAACCAAAAATGCTCGTTGGACACATCCTTCTTTTTTTGTGTGCAGCCTCCAAGTGTCGACCAGCTCCGACTGCTGGACTGTACCAAAGAAAGGAAGCTCATCTCTGCTTCGAAAAGTGAAAAAAAATCGATGTACTTTAGAGTGCCACCTAGCGGTGGAAAGTACGCCTTTTACACGGAAAACGTTTCTAGTTAAACATTTCAAAAGGTCCTATCTGCATTGATCGATTCTCTTCATCGACATTCTTTTTTGTTAATAACTCAGTTGCAAAAAAATTACTGTTGTATTTAACGTTGAGGACGCTAGATGGGAGCCTCTTTTATCAAACTATGTTGTAAGAATAGCGCAAAATCTATTTACTTAGCAGTGGTTATCCAAAGAGAAAGTCGATGAAGAGAATCGATCAAAGCAGATAGGACCTTTTGAAATGTTCATCGTGTTCTCCCTTTTTATGGCACAGACCTGTCCTCCATATTTGAGGACGAGGCAAAGCGGTACAAGTGATTTTGATAGATCATCTTCATTGACTTTCACTTTTGACTATCATGGCTTTACCAACCAATTTCACACTATTTCCGCTACATAGTTTGATAAAGGAGGTTATCATATGTCATGCAGGATCAAGGAATATGTTTGCAGCTGAGTTATTAAAGGTCCAAACGCAATGTGAACGGAAGCGGAACGGAAACGGAAAGTTTGACAGTTGTCACAATCGATGTCGATTTGGTTATAACTAGTTTTCAATCCAACAAGTAGGCCTACTCAGATCGGGCTTTTCCGCTGCCGCTGCCGTTCCGCTTCCACTGTCATTGCGCTTGGGCCTGAACGAAAGACAAAGTCGATGAAGAGAATCAATCAAAATCAATTGCACCCCTTTGCCTCTAATCCTCTCAGTTGAGAGCTAGCGTAAAGTTTTCGTTGAAGCATAATATACAAAGAAGAAAAAGAAGAAGAAGGTTATTTTTTTCTTTAAACCGTTTGGCACAAATAGCATGAAGCTTGTTTACAATATCGAATGAATAATGAAATTAAAAGATAAAGGCAAACAGGACCTCTTGAAATGTTAATCTAGATAACATCACTTGTAACATCAATAAAAAAAACTTGTTTGTACAAATTGTTGTGAGTTTTAAAACAACTGTTCGTATTAAGCAGGATGAACTGTAAAGCTAACGGTCATTTCAAAACGTAGTCAGAAATTAAACCATTTTATTCCAGTTTAAACTGGCTTAAACGAACACGCTAAAAGTAAAATGATAAGAGGAACAAAAAATCGATGTTGATCGTCAGAGTAAACACTTTCTGGATCAGCGTTTGCATGAAGTTAATATTCACATTATTTTTATTTCGCCGGAAACCAGCAAAATTTTCCTGGATTTTGCCGAGCTGGAAATCCAGCAATCCTTCCAGCAAAAAATATTGCTGGATAACCAGCAAAATAGTCTGACATAAAAATGACAGCACTTTACTGTAGAACCAGCAAAATTTGCTGGTTGTTCAGTAATACAAAATAGGAATTTATTTTGCTGTATGATCAGCAAAATTAGTGAAGTATTTTTTTTGAAAAAAAATCAAAGATTTTATTTAATTCAAACTTAATTTATTTCATACTTTAGCATCATAACTGTATTTCAAATTATGTAGCGATAAATTCAGTGAAAATGAAGAAATACTATCAAAAACGTTCAAAATCGCTGACTAATTATCCACTTCCTCCTGCAAATAAATAAAAAAGACGTCATATTACAGATGCACTGTTATAACGGATATTTGTATGCAATGTAAACACATTGAAAACTAGTATTAAACAATCAAAATAAATCAACTTACGATCAGGCATGCGATAAAGAATCCACTTACGAAATTACAATTTATTTGACAGTTCCCGTATTTTACTGATCATCCAGCAAAAAAACATGTTTGCTGGATTCACAGTAAATCTTAATTTTGCTGGACTCTATTCAGCAATTCGTTTTGCTGGAAGGCTGATTCAAAATTTGGTGTGTTCTTTTCTTTGACTGTACATGATGGTAGAAGCGATTTGACAGTGAAATGGCCGGCGCCGGTGGTGTAGTGGTATGCGTGACCGCTTTCTCA